TATAAAAAACATTGTATAAAGGGGAAACAAGTAGGAAATGCTGGTCCATTACTATTCATAGCAGCTAGATGAAGAGGTGTATATTCATCCAAAGTTTTGGCATTGATATCGGCTCCTTGTTTGATGAGTTTTCTGACATCATGCATGTTTCCATTCCGAGCAGCGTAATGAAGAAGAGTAAATCCAAAAGGATCTTTGGCTTTGACGGAATCATCACTGAATGGTTTGTCATCGGCGGTCTCGAGCATTTCGGCGATTTTGGTTTCACCTGATTTCAACAATGAAATCAAAAGAATATTTTCAATCGAATTTACGTAAAAACTTGAGCGAAAGTTTTCGAAAATGTTGTCATTCCTAATACCTTTGGAGATCGCGACTTGAAGTGGTGTTTTTTCGTTAATGTTTACAGCTCGCATATTGGCACCGCTATCGATGAGAAGTCGCACTAAGTCCTCATGGCCTGAATTGTAAATGAATCAAAATTGAAAAGAGGCGTTGGTTTTATTGTGTGAATTTGGGTAATTACCATCTACGGCCATATGCAATGGTGAATTTCCAAAAATATCTGTTACATCGAGATTGGCACCATGTTCAATGAGAATTTTTGCGATGTCAACATTGCCTAATTTACGGATGAAATAAAAAAACAAAATTCAAGAGAATGTTCTAGTTTCGACATAACCATTTGAGCAATTACCTCTCTCTGCAGCCGTTAGAAGTGCGGAATATTTATATAGATTTCTGGCATTCACATCGGCACCGTGTTCGATGAGGAACCTAACGACATCTAAACTAGTATCTGAATTTTGAAAGGGTCATAAAAATTCATTAACCGTATGCAAAAATGTCGTTTCGAGGTGAAAATCAATGATAATTACCACTCATAGCGGCTATATGAAGCGCTGTATTACTTGCATTGTCATTTGCATTGAGATTAGCACCATTCTGGATCAACAGTTTAGTTATTTCGTCATTGCCTAAACCAAATTCATAAAGAATTATTCAAATATTTGTTCGTCCAATGTCAAGTGTTGTATGGAAGTTTCAGATCAGCTCACCTTTTTTCAGAGCAAGTTTAAGTGCCGAATTTCCGTCGCTATCTTTAATGTTGACATCCACTGATTTGTTTATCAAACACTCGACCATTCTCTTTGAACCTTGGTTGTACGAGAAGAAATTGGAAAAATAACTTTGTTATTTAATATAATATTAAATGCTTAAATTTTTTTTTCGATTTTTTTCGAACTTTCTCCTTTCAATTTCTTAGATAAGACGATTTTTGGAAAAAAAAATCTGAATAAAAATAGCAGTTCAATCATTTTTCTAATTGAACCGAATCTAACTTACCGTTCTCAATTGCAACATGCAACGCTGGTTTTCCAGAATGATCTGTCGTGATAGCACTCTCATCGCATTCGTCATGACCTAAGCAATTATTTAGTCTCATTATTATTCATACATTCAAACTACGCACAATTTATTTTTGCATTACCCTTCTCAGTGGTCACATCAAATGGATCTTCATCATAATTATAATCATCATCATTATAATTATCAAGTTGTGTGATCGTATTCACTTTTTCTTGGTCTAAATAAGTTGACGCATCATCTAAATGGAATAATTTGTCGAAATGTTTTTATTATTGAAAGGTTTCAATATTCTTGCCTATCATCTATTAATTTAAAAAGCTTAACGAGAAATAAAATAATACAACTAGTCGCACCTGAGTTACTTGAATATCTTATAAAAGAACCCGAGGAACCCGCAACCAGCAGCGCTACCACAGAGAATAATATCAACTTCATTTTTTTAAGTACACGAAATTCGTCTCGAAATCTTGAATTTGAAAATAATCTGATCACTTATCACTTCACACAAAACAGGAACACTTTCCGTAAAATGTTTGGAAATACAATATGGATTGTGTCAGCAAAAACTGAAACTGAAATTAAATCTGGAACTGGAACTGAACACGATCACTAATTGTCAATAACTGATGCATCCATCGAATCAAGCTAAGGCTTTTATTTCGAGTGAACAGAGAAATGTTATTCACATTTACATGCACATCAATCACATTTCGAAGTAAAACCGTTTCGACGAAACAGCGAAGAAAAACAAAATCAAAAGCACTCACATAAGCACATTGTGTATATTTGAACATTTTTTTGGATTAAGCGTCGCTACAATCGTTCGGCTGTGTTTTTTTGTGCTCGGTTGAAATTACCTTGCATTCGTACATGAAATCACTCACAATACCGTCAAATCATATACTGATGCACATTGCACGTGCATCTATCACATTCACATGGACAAAAACTGATAAGCGGTTCCCATTCAATTCTATTCATTCCCATAGCGCTTCTGGGCATATACGAATTTAGTATTGATTTAATCTATTTCAAGGAATTAGTTTTACACTAACTTGCTGTTCGCATCGATTGCATTTACAAATATACGAAATGAGAACTATGTCCTTTGTATAATGGTTTATGCGAATGTTTTTCTTGCTTGGAAATCGTATATTTGGGAACAAAATATTCTGTCGGAATATTGGAATACTTTGACTGATTTTAATTTGGAATTTGTGAATGAGGAACATCGAAAGCTCTCATGATTGTACAAAGTAGCCCTTTTTGTGAAAGAAAACGTTTGGTTCCAATTAAAAGAGACAACGAACGATTTACACACCGACCTTAGTTTTTTTTTTCTGTGGTGATGTATTGCTTAACAAGTTGTCAATTCAATAGGTATTCATATGGAAAATTCAAATAATATCTAAAGGCAGCATGAGAAATGGCCATTTTCAGGACATATTAGACTGGCTAAATGTGATGATCCAGTACAAAACAATGATAATAGCTAACTGCGGTCAAAAACGTACCAAAACCAGTAAACAGCTGGCTAACATTTCATCGTAGTCGACTATTTTTCATGCAAAACATCTAAAGCTCAGTTAACTAAAGTCGCTTATCAGTTAATTTCAGTTACAATCAGTCATTTGTTTTTCACACGTGGTGTAACAGTGAAAACATGTAAAATATATTTTGCGCACAAATATAACGAATTTCTTTAAAAATAACTATCAACGCATTGATAAAAATTGAGAAATAAAAACGCCAAGCAAATAATTCTGATTTGAACTGAGATTTGAAATTGCTTTATTTTGTGAACATTGGAATAAAAGTTGAATAGTTGAATCGACAAAAACTGATAAGCGGTTGGGCAATCATGCAAGCGTTAGTAGAAATCAAAGCTGAATATTACAGTTTTTTTTTCCAAATATAAATATTTTCAATTTTCTGCGAAACGAATGAAACGCTCGGACCAACAACACCGGCCCGTAACACCGTCACACCAATGCGACGTGAAAAATTGTTCTTGAAGCGTGCATTGTTAATGTCACGAGCCACAACCGATGCCGTCTTATTTGGATTGTTCTCTACACGAAATTCAACCTCGTGGCGATCAACTCGAATATATGTGGGCCAATACGTACAGTCTAATGCTCACACTTAGCTAGGTGTCACATTGAGAAGTTAAGTGTGGAGTCGCGCTTCGGAATTTTATGATTAAGCTGTTAAAAACTTTATATTTTAAGCCGCAGAAATGTTTACATGATATCTTTTATTTATGTTGTTAAGATCTTGCTACTTTTTACTTGATGATTCAGATAGGATTGTTTGGAATTAAGACAAAGAGGACAAGAAGAACAAGCAGACATAAGAAGAAACGAAATAAAATGGGAAATGGTTGTTCTATCCAACATTGCTGAAGAATATTTTCTCAATCGAAGCATTTGGTTTTTCTTTGGCAGCAAGTTCATTCAAACGGTTCTCTAGGTATGAACGGTATTTCTTAGAGAGATTTTCCGAGATATCTTCAATCTGTTGCTGTCTGTCAAACTGCAACGGAAAATGAAAGCAAAATATTGAAAAAATGTCTAAAAATTACAATTAAATTGATAATTTAAACAAAACCTGTGAGAAAATTCCATTGAATATGAAAAATATCGATCAACTTCGATATTTATCTTGGCAATTTTTTTTTTTTAAAGATTTTTACATTTTCAATGTAATTTGATCAGTTTTCTCGGTAAAAATCATTAAATTCTCAATGAATGTCGTCGAATAAAGTTCAAACACTTGAAAATTGAATATCTTTTGCAATATTACGCGGCATGCCAAATCATTTATAACATACCTCATTTAATGACTTAGCTATGGCTATTGAAAAATTTCCATGTGTGATGTTTTCAACCATTTCCATCTCGAATTTCGTTGCAATGCTTTTAACTAATGCCGTATTGTAGGCCAAGATATAATTTTGGCGTCGCAACTCATTGGTTTTATTCAGACGCTCAAACTCTGCATCAATGTTGCTTTTGAGTTTGTTTTCAAAAGTCGATACATACTCCTTTTCATTGAGTTTTTTCTGCTCGGAAAACTGTATAATTCGTAGACATGAATGAAGAGAGAAAATAGTGAGTTACATTTTAATTATTCGAAAAATGTCCGTATTATTTGTGTTTCAATGTGTTCGTTTCAAACCTTTTTCAATGCCTCATCGGTCAGTTCAGTGTGACGTTGCATAAGTTCCGCCGTCTTAAAATATGATTTATAAGAATTGAAAATTGCATTCATTTGAGCGCAATACTTTTTAAAACAATCATCTATCTCGGTTGTGTACTGAACGTCTAGAACGGCCTGAATGAAATAGCACAATAAAAAAGAAGTTCAAACGAAATCATTTTTTAATGTCAAATTAATCCTTCGAAAATAACATTTGACAAACGTATAACGCTGAAAATCTAATCGAAAACAAGGATGAACTTACCTGCAGATATGTTTTTGGGTTCAGTAATTGGCCTTTTTTCAAAATATTTGCATGGGCTTTTAAGTAAGGCAGCAATTCTTTGGCACGTACTTTTTGTCCATTGATTTGTTTGACAACCAAGTTGTTCGGTGCAAACAAACTATGTGCTAATATTGTGACATTGCCTTTGAACGAACCATGTACATGGTGTAGGTTACCATCAAAAGAGATTGTCTGTGTTACATTGTCACCGGGAGATGGCATATAAAATGTGTCAATGTGTTCATAATTCGTGAAAATGTGATCTTTTCGATTTTTTTCGCTGGTTTTATCACGTTTTTCCCATCCATACTCGAAATTTTCATGCACTTTGGGCGCATCGCGAACGATAAAGTACAATTTTTGGAATAATTTCTCGTGTTCAACTTGATTTTGTTCATCGGCAAAACTAGCGAATCCACCGAAAAATTTCACATATTCCAAATCCGATGCTTGAATTTCGCGCAACACATTATAACACTGCACCGAAGAGGCCATCGCACTCAAGGCAAAAATGGTCGAGTCCACTCGAT